TACCAAATATGCCAAAGATGTCTACAAAATTATCTCAGTTATTATTAAAAAACTGATTATTTTTGAAAACTTTGCCACCCTGTATCTCAAAAGTTAAGGCGTTTAGGACATACGTCCATAGGAAGTTTTTTTCTTAAAATGGGTCTAAGAAATACCTCCTCAAATATTAGCATGTGTTTAAGGAACACCCTGTATAAGGAAACACCAATTCCACGAATATCTATGTCAAAAAACTAAACACACTGCCCGTTAGGATCAATAACCAAGCTTTTATGATTGGTGTAGACCCCAACTTACAACAACAAGTTTATGAAGCAAGCCTTTGGCCGGAAAACATACACTTCAGCCGTTTTGACTTTAGAAAGGGTCAACGCTTCCTGGAGAGACAACAAGCATCTAAGCCACATCAAACGAGCTCAAATTTTCGAAACCACGCCTCATTTCTGACTCCAACATCTTAAAACATCATTTTCAATTAATGCATATAAATATTCAAAGTCTATCAAACAAAATAAATCTTCTTGAAGTATTCTGTAATCCTAATAAACCAACTTGTATAACTGAACACTGGTTGTGCGATGAAAAGTTAAGAAACACTTAGGATAGCGGATTATGAATTAGTCTTCAGCTTCAGCAGGTCTCAACTTGAACACGGCGGTACAGTACTATTTGTTCAGTCTCAGTTTCTCAAACATTGTAAAAACCTATCGTATTTGGTGGATGTATCTATAGAAATTAATTTCGAGTGTTCTGTCACTGTCGGTAGCCAAGCGGTTCGGCATGGGTGCTTTGTTCACTCACTCGAATTGACTGCCGTGTTGGTCGGTGGTTCAAGCCCTAGTCTGAACGATCGATCTTCACTTGCTATCGTCCAACCCGTGTTAGGAATCACACGTTAAAAGGTAAGACCTCGTTAATCCTTAGCTCGCACAAGTTTCGTTCGTAGGGGTGCGACAGATGGTTAACGGAAAAACAGATTTTAAACAGATAAAAGAGAACAAAGAATTGTGCATTGTCACAATTTATCGAAGCTCATCCAATGATGCAGATCTGCAGTTATTCCTTGATAACCTGAATCACATCTTAAACAATGTATCAGATAAGTATGCAAACTCTGCAATCTGTGGGGATTTCAATTTGAATTTTATAGAAAATAGCTACTATAAAAAACAACTTTTCGATCTATTTGAAATGTTCAACATGAATTTACTCTATAACGAACCAACACGTATAGCTAGATATGGAAAACACTTGACCGTCAGTGGGTTTGATTACGTAATAAGTAACATAGAAAACTCATCCTGTAAAATCTTTGACTTGGGAATATCCGACCACTTTGCCCAAATCATGAGTTGGTCCATAACAAACAAAAATAAATTGAAACACAACAATAAAACAAACATTGTAACACGAAAATTCTGCTCAAACTCAATGCATGGATTCAAAACTTTTTATACAAAAAATAAAACAAAGATATTACAAGACAGTAATGTTGAAGTCGTATTAGATAACTTCTCAACTCACTTTGACTGGTGTTTTGAGATAGCTTTCCCAATGCAAGAAATTAAATCATGAAAAAAAAAACATCGATAGAAAAAAACCATTTTCTAGAGAATTGCATTGAGAACTTGAAAGTTATAAATTGGCTGAGGAAAAGAGCCAGTGACTGCTGTCTGAATGAAAAGTATAAGCAAATGAAAAGGGAACTCAATATAAACATATCCTCTGAAAAGAAAATATATCGCTATAACCTATTAAACAATTCTAATAACAAATCAAAGACCTTTTGGAATATGGTAAAAATGAAAAAAGGTACCAATAAGAACGAAAAGGAAAACTTGACTTTCAACTTATAACGGAAAAAAATCCCGACAAACTGAAAGTTGCAAATCTGTTTGGAGATTATTTTTCAACCTCAGTGGAAAGAAAAATAAACTCTCTCAACTTGCCTCAAAATAACTGTACCAAAAATGAGATAAGCACATTATCCTGGGTCTAAAAAAGAAATAAAAAAGAACAAACTTCTTATTGACAAATGTACAACTATCAATTGTTTTGAGAAGACTTTTGTTTTGTATCTTCATAATATGTGTAATTCAAGTAAAATAATTTAATTATATTTTCTTTTGTGTTTATAATGTATTTACTATTGAATAATTGTAAACGGTACTTAGTTTTCAAAGACTTCAATTAGAAAAAAGCATTATGAATGTGTTTTTTCATGAGTTTTCAAATTACTACTTCGATTAAATGACTTCCAGCAGATTTTACACTGAAATGATTTTTTCCAGTATGAGTTTTTTCATGTGTTTTCAAACTACTACTTTGAGTGAATGACTTCAAGCAGATTTTACACTGAAATGACTTTTTTCACCAGTATGGGTTCTTTCGTGCATTTTCAAATTAGCACTGTGACAAAATGACAGCAGATTTTACATTGAAATGATATTTTTGCCAGTATGAGTTCTTTCATGTTTTTTCAAAGTACTACTTTGAGTGAATGACTTCAAGCAGATTTTACACTTAAATGGCTTTTCACCAGTATGGGTTCTTTCATGCACTTTCAAATTAGCACTGTGAAGAAATGACTTTGAGCAGATTTTACACTGAAATGATTTTTTCCCTGTATGACTTCTTTCATGTGCTTTCAAATTACTACTTTGAGTGAATGACTTCAAGCAGATTTTACACTGAAATGGTTTTTCACCTGTATGGGTTCTTGCATGCGGTTTCAAATTAGAACTGTAAGAAAATGACTTTGAGCAGATTTTACACTGAAATAACTTTTCTCCAGTATGAGTCATTTCATGTTGCTTCAAACTATTACTATAAATAAAAGACTTCAAGCAAATTTTACATTGAAATGGCTTTTCACCAGTATGGATTTTTTCATGAAACTCCAGAGTGATACTCTGAAAAAAGGACTTCGAACAAATTTTACACTGAAATTTTTGTCCAGTATGAGTTCTTTCATGTGTTTTCAAATTACTACTATGAATAAAAGACTTCAAGCAGATTTTACACTGAAATGACTTTTTACCAATATGGGTTCTTTCATGCGATTTCAAATGAGCATTCTGAAAAAATGATTTTGAGCAGATTTTACACGCAAATGATTTTTTTCCAGTATGAGTTCTTTCATGTGTTTTCAAATTTCTATTATGAAAAAAAGACTTCAGGCAGATTTTGCACTGAAATTGTTTTTCACCAGTATGAATTCCTTCGTGGAATTTGAAACTACTTCTTCCAACAAATGACTTTAGACATATTTTACATTGGAATGATTTCTCCCCTGTATGAGTTTTTTCATGTATTTTCAAATGACTTTTCGAAATGAATGATTCCGAGCAGATTTTGCACTGATACGGTTTCACAATAGGATCGTTAACAGTGCCAAACGCTGAAGACTCCGTTTCATTGAAGCTCTCTTCTTTCTTCTCGATGACTGTTTCATCCTCTATTTTAACAAAAATGTTCCCAGAATCTGTGAAAAAAATTACAAATTTATACAAAATTATTTGTTTGAAAATAATTTCATATTTCATTTATTTACTGTCAATTTTACCCCCCAAAATGGAGTAACCTTTTGGTTTTCTACTATCCAAATAGTTTATAACCACTAAAAAGTTTGTGAAACAAAGTTATTGAATGTTCTGTAATGTGTCTGGAACCGACCATAAACTTATACATTCCAAAAAACTTTTCATAAAATGAAGAAATGTATATTTAGATAGATAGACATATACTTTATTGTCCAAGAAAATACAATCTTATTGACAAAGCTTGTTAAAAAATCTGGTATGTATAGCACATAAAAGAATGAAAGAAAAGAAACAATTCAATAACACAAATACCCAGAAACACTATTTGAGCAAAACTAAGTTCACATATCTAATAGATTAAATATAATAATAAAAAATAAAATTTAACAAATTTTGAAGACAAAATAGTTTGTATAGTCCATTTCAAAAAATGTAAAAAACAAATATACACAATTTGAACAAAGTTCACATGTCATGGCAATAATATAAGATATATCCCAGTATAAAATATAATTTAAAGTACAGGTGTCAATATAAACAACAAAAAAAAACGCATATATGAAATCACAGCAAAGTTCCGTTGTAATATTCAACGTACGCTTTTGTTGCAAGGGATTGTTTAACAAGATTTCTGAACTTTTTATAGCTTTTTTCCCTTCCTAATTTTGTGAGGTATGTGATTATACAGCTTTTTACTTTCATAAATTAAAGAATACTTTGTCTGACTTGTTTTTGGAACAGGAATATGTGTTTTTTTATTACTTGCTGGGATATGTGAATTATAAAGTATATTTATTCATATTTTTTTCTTTCTGGACTTTTCTTGAATGAAAAATTCGAAATTTGATTAGAAATTTAAAAATAAATTGAAAAAAATTTAAGGGGAAATGAATAATCACCACTGAGGAGATTTTTTGTAATCAATTATCATGTCACTATTTTGATTGATAGGTAAAATTGAAATGTCTGGCATAAAATTAATCTAATGGAAGCCCTTTTCACATGTGTGTGATTGATGACTTGTTTATTTTGTGGTAATTCATGATCACTTTGATGAAATGAATAAAAACACCTTTGTTTAATTACCACTAGTTGATTTTATTTATACAACCGGTTCCGGGTTTGACCCCATTATCAAGTATAAAACTGAGATGTGAAGTTTGAAAACTTGGTTTTATCAGGTATTTGATAGACAGGTAGTTGAGCAAACCAGGAAGCCAACTTTAAAATTCACCACTGAAAATTCTAGGGGTTGTTAAACTTATAAATTCAAGAGAGGAGACCTACATAAATCGAGTTGCTCGTTTCAAGGTATATACTTCTGGTTTTTAATTGATTTGTTAATTTCCATGGCTTCCAACAAATTAATGTTCTCCCCTTTATCCCTTTATCTTGTGTTTTGTTTCTTAAAGATGTTCGTTCATTGTAGATTGTAGATTTTTTGTCCAAACAGATGTGTTCACGCAGCCTTATGTCAAAATTTCTACCGGCTTGGCCTGTATATACTGCAGAGCATTCGCCACACTCTATTCTATATATACCTGATTTTTTCATTCTATCCCGTTTGAGTTTTGCATTAAACAGGGTTCTATCCAAATTATTATAACTTATGAAAGCTGTCGATATTTTGTGTTTAGAGAAATAATTTTGAATATTTTCTGAACTACACAGGTAAACTTTCAGAGTTTATTCAAAATTATTTCTCTAAATACAAAATACCAACCACTTTCATAAGTAATAATTTAGGTAGAACCCTGTTTAATGCAAAACCCAAACGGGATAGATGAAAAAATTGGTGTTCGACCGAAAGTTCGGTTTCGGTCGAGTTTCGGCAAAAAAACGGGTTTTGGTTTAGTTTCGGATTCAGCGGCAAACCTGCCGAAACTACGACCGAAACCGAAACTGCATTCGGGAGTTCCCGCGCTGTGATCGGTCATGTTCGACGCAATTAATTCCATACAAGGGACGAAGACATTTTGCCGCGTCCACGTGCCTGATCATGTCGTAACTTACTTTGTTTATTACATAAATATTAAATTTATCCCAAACGGGATAGATGAAAAATTGGTGTTCGACCGAAAGTTCGGTTTCGGTCGAAGGAGTATCCTGGAATGATAAATTCCCAAGACTTTGATTTCACAGAACTTCTTTGCAAAATCAGTAATCGGGAAAAATTTAAGGAATCTCGAGCAGAAGATAGTGTTATTGAAAAGGTGAACAAGCTAGAGATTTTTTTTAATAGGCTGATTGAAAATCTGGAAAATAAAAGGAGAATGGAATGTATAGAAAAACGTATTTAACAAATGAGTAAAGAGTCTACACCTATACTTAATCCAGCAGTTGCTACGCCTTCTACTTCCACAGAAAAAGATCGTTGTTTTATCAGTCAAACTAGTCCAGAGTATAACATGGAGCCACAAACTGAATTCAATCATGCAAAATCTGTCACTTTACCACCCTTCTGGAAGACTGAACCGAACTGTAGAAACAATTTTTAACCTAAATAGCATACATTCCAATAAAATCAAATGTAGAAAGATACTGACAGTTTTAGATTGCAGTACTGTTAAAGAAAATTCAAATATTTTTACAATACAAAACAAAAATTCTTCAGATTCATATGAACTACTGAAAAGTCAACGTATCAAGTATCAGACAAAGAAAAAATAATTAAGTTATTCAGTGAGTGTCAATTTGGAGACAGAAAACCTAGTCAGCTCTATCGGCAAATGAAGGATCTTGCCTCAGGGCAAATGACTCCAAATTTTATCTTATTATCTTGGCAGAAGAATCTTCCAAACACAGTGGCATAACTTGTCCGGGCGTTTCACGAGAAACTTCCTGAGGAAGGAATGGCCGATGGAATGATGAAAGGAATTGCAAATACGGACGTTTGTTCTATTCGAACTGGTCAAAAAAAAACTCGCTTAGAAAATAAAACTGAGCAACTTATTCAAAATCTTGATGAATCTGTTACCAGAAGACGCAGCCCAGTTTTTGTTATTATGTAGACCTCTGTTATTATGCCGGCCTCTGGTTTAAGTAGTGCTGAAATATTGTATGGTTCTACGGTAAGTGTTCCTGGAGATTTTGTGATAACCAATGGAGAAGAATAGAAATAATCGCATATAGAATTTTTGAAAACATTACAAGAAACACTGAGAAACATAAAAATTAACGAGCAGTCTAATCATCGTGGATAGAAAAAATATTTGTACATAAAGAATTGCGAAAAACCTCTCATGTTTTCTAAGAACGGATTTTATTAAAAAAAAAATGTTGCAAACTCCTTATTCTGATCCCTACAAGGTTTTAGAAAGAACCGAAAAATATTTTAGAATTTCAGTTAATGAAAAAAGAAAAAATATTTCGATTGACAGGTTGAAGCCAGCTTTTATAGAATCATCAAATGAAAATGTATCTGAAAATGCAAAATTTCCAAATACACCAAATGGAATTCTCAGGAGGAAATCAGAAAATCAAATTCCGGAAAATCTAATTATGTAACCCGCTTTGAGTTTGAGAAGAGTTCCGGTCTAAAATTTTTTTTAGAGGGATGTAATGTAGTGGCCTACAATTTCCTTAAAAATAGAGTGTTCTAGGTGTTGCTAGATGTTTTGGTTTTAATGATTTGTTTAGAAAAAATGATAAAAAAAGAGTTAATAAAAACTTCAATCAAAAACGTTTTTGAAAGTAGTCTAAAAACTACAAAACCATTCTCAGGTAAACTCAGTTTACTATATTCTACTACTTCTATATTCTCGATACTTAAATTCAATATGAATTTATAAAAAATAAATAGGTAATCAATCGAATATGATGATTGAAAAATTACTGAATGCAAAAAACCTTCATCAAACTTCAGTACCTGTAACTGGTTTTGAATCATGAGTCATATCTTCACCCTGGTTATCAAGGAACTTATCATGAGGGCCTTCACTTATTTCTTCTATACATTTTTCTGATTTGGGTTCATAGTCAACATCAATGACACTTTCACATTTAATCTGATCTATATCATATTTTTCTTCGAGGTTTTGGGTAACCATTTCTATACCAAACATATCATATTTTCCAGATTCACCAACCATTTCAGTTTCACCTGTTTCACATTTCATGATATTTGTTTCAAAAATCACTTCATCCCCAACAGATTCAAGCTCTCTCTTAATTATTCTTCCATAATCATCGGCAGCCATTATCTTCGAAAAAAGAGGATTTGTTTTAAACAACGAATTAAAAGGTTTGTTAACACTTTTTGAAGAGAAATGTCGTCATTCTACTTCTTATTTTCTTGTTTATTTGTGGTCCAGCACAGCCTCAGAGTAATGTAATGTTACTCTGTGAGCACGCCAAAATTGCTGTCCCGAGACAGCAATCAGAATAAAAAGCACCCTTTAATGGATAATCTTAAAGATGTTGTTTTCTACATGTTTTGTTATTCATATACATATTTCATGTAATTCATGATTCAGTAAATAAAAAATATGTCTTGAATAATAAATCAGTGTCAAAGTGTCTATGTCAAAGTCGAATGGAAGAAAAAAAATTCTAGATTCATGACAGACTGCCATAGGTCTGTCATATCCTGCTCGATCAAAATATATCGAGGAGAAGTTGTGTTTTGTTGACACTCAGATTAAATAATTTCCTCCAGAAGTTATCCGTTATCTGTGCTCAATGTATTTAGATCTAACAGAGAGAGCGAATAACTTTCGACGGAGATGATATATTTGGAATATGATTGATGCCAACAAAACGCATCTAGTACGGACGCGCAAAAGGATCACCTATTTTCATTTGTTTCTAAGAAATTCCGATTTTGGTAGTTTCCTACAGATACTACGGGCAACGAAAAAATTTCAAGTGCTGTTCAGAATGAGAAGTGAAATACAAATTGCTATCGCATCTGGTGTCAATAAAAGTAATTTTCTCTTGATTTTGAAGCAAGTTTTTAAAACCAACTGTTGATAGATACATCGATAGACCGTTTGTAAATTCGTCGGTTACTTCATCGATTTGATGAAAAGCATAGGACTATTTTCTTTATCCTATATTCAATATACATTTCCACGAAATGAATATGCCATCAATCGAATAAGGTAAGAATAATTCAATTTCTGAATTTCGAGTTTAAAGTTGAAATTTCGTAGCTAAAGTTGAAATTTCGAGACCAAAGTCGAAGTTTCTCGAAAGTTTAATTTTAAGGCAAAGTTTCGACTATTAAAGTCAAAGTTTCCAGAAAACAAATAATAAATAACGGGAACAGGCGAGTTTTTAAATTCAACATGAAAATTATGATCGATGGTTCTGTCTGATAAAAACACGTTAACGTTCCGATTGGACCATCGGATGAATCCATCAGCAAGGAGGAACCATCGGATCAATCGGTGGATTCATCGGTGAATTATAGAACTATTCTAATAACTTAATCTGGGTGCCAACAAAACACAACTGATGTGAAAAGGATTATTCACACAGTCGACCCGCTAAAATTACTTAATATGCGCATAGCGTTACGCAATAACATCAATGATATTGTTACAAAATCCCTAACGCCGCAGCTGACTACAGTCACCCAATTCGACGAAGGGACCTCTACCTGTGCATGACGTCACACGCGCGTTGCCTCCCTAAGCGGTAACTGGAAAAGTCTCGAAAAGAATTCCAACGTCGATCCTGAGAGCGAAACATCGCGATGGATATGGAATTTCTAGAAATTCTAGATGTATCCATCTTACTATAAAAGAGCGAGTTCCTTCGGCAAGAGTATTAGTAAGAGAGTGTTCGAAGTCTCAAGCAAGCGAGTATTCTAAGTGAATTATAATCAGTGCAGTAGTTGTGTATTGAGTAAATGAACGTTGTCTAAGTATTATTAGTGTTGTTGTTTTAAAAACGAACCCCAAGTAAATATCGTAACAATATTAAGAATGTATTTCTCAAATACGTCTCTTATCAAATCATCTGAGGAAGGGTAATAGATATATTTTTGTCCTAGGCAATTGAAACGTTGATTTTTCTGTCAAGTCAGCAGGTACTACATAAACCCAACGCAATTATGTTTCAAATTTAGTTTCTCTGAGGGTGATGAAATAAAAACGATGTTATATGTGATGGATCTAAAATTTGAAATGTTCATATATTACCCAATATATTTTAAGTTTTTTCTATCATTTATTTTCTTCTTGATAATTGGCAGTAATGGTAACTGTCACCGGAAAGAGGAAAAGGTTTCATATCTAGGGTTTTTTCCACGTGGAGTACTGGTAAGACTTGATTGGTTCTCCCCGCCACACCAACCTACGAACACATTAAACGGAGATAATCGTGTGAAAAAGCCACATGCAACTGCCTACAGTGCCTACTGTAGTTCCAATATGCCTTTTCGAAAAGAATAACCTTAGCATTTATTTCCCAGCCTGAGAAGTAATAGGCAAATGTGGTGAAGGGGACCAATGAAAATCACATAGCTCTAGGTCTAAATTTTACATGTTGGCGCCTTGACGAGTCTATAGATCAAAGAGACGAAACGTATACCTTTCCGATCACTGCGTATATGATAAATGCTACAGCGCTTTATCATTGCATTGTTGGTGTAGTATATTAAATAAAAATCCACTCAAACCAAAACACGAGTTGAGAATCGAGTGAAGATTCTCCAACCATCAATAAAATATGAGAATTAGTGTTAACGAGAATTATTTGAGTGTTTTAATAGAAATATTATGCTCATTCACGCCAGTTAGAGACCGGGATGGAGCGGAAGTCCACGTGGGAGTGGGATCGCAGATATTAATCATTTATGAAGAAGGTGATGCTAGTTTCACATACTGTAAGTAGATGAACAACCAGGTTTCTATGTCGGAAGGGGTGGTGACGTTATCGCTGTTTGAGAGGTAATGATTCGAGTGTGCTTATGAGAGCAATACTATTGGAAAATGTCAATATTGGGTTCAATGATGGGCCACTTTCCATTGAATACCTTTCAGCTGATGTAGACTACATCAGTACCAAAAATTGAGTCAGTAGCAGCCGGCACTGGTCTGCACGTTTCAAAAATCAGCGTCCGAAAATTAAAGAATTGAGCGTCGAAGCACTTCGATAATTTTCTCACCTGTAGATGCTAATCTAGACAACATGAGGATTTGGTAAAGTTTCAACTTCAATAAGGAAGTCATAGTATCTCTACTTTGATAGAGTTGACGTAAGATACTGAACGAGCTTCGACAAAGTGAATTTATTATATGTTTGAAATTTCAGATCAGCATCTAGCAACAAACCCAAGTCCTTGCTTTCTGTAATTATTTGTAGTAAGTCTTGTTCAAGTTTGATTTCAATAAGTCATTTTTGTAGTCACTCAAACCTTTTCGGGGGTTTTTGTCTTTCAAATACGCCTTTTCTATTGGCCAAATTCAATTATCCGAACCAACGTCAGTTCCAATTGATCCGGATAACTAGGGTTCTCTACTGTATTCCATACTCTCCACGTAAGATGAAATATTTGACTTAGGTTAAAGTTCCCAAACTTGATGTTTATTCAAACTAGAAGCTGTTTTTTAAATACTTTTATTAAATGCATACAAATTACTAAAATTAAGACATGAATTTTTTTTTGCATACCACAAGAAACACGTACTGCATAAAACTGATGGGAATGATGGTGTCTACAAATTACGATTACAGGTAATGAGCGTTTATTGAAAAAACTTTGAACAGTATTTTAATAAAAGAACGAACTTAGTTTATATTAAACAAAACTTTCACAAAAAAATAATTTAGGAAAAACATTTTCTTCCAAGTATTTATGAAAATTGTTCCTGAAGAAACACAAATTTGATATATTGTGA